CCCCCCCCCCCCCCCCCCCCCCCCCCCCCCCCCCCACAACTCCCACCTTCATTCAATGATGCATTTTGTTCAATTTTAAAACTAATTAATTTTACAGCGTATTTGCCCCTCTTAAACAACCAAAAATTTGCAAAAAAAAAAAAAGAAGCAAAATTTTTCCTCCCAACTATTAGTTAATTGTTAAGATCTTGCAAAACAAATTTTTGGCCTTAAATGGTCAAGTGATTGCTGATATTGCAGCTGTCGATGTTTCTACTGGTTTTGCTGTTGCTGCTGTTGATTGATATAATAAAAATTAGAAAAAAAAAAAACAACTACAATCTTTTTGACGTTACTCGTTGTCTCTCTTTTTCCAGAAATCAATCTTTCCCATTTTTTTTTTTTTATTTCTGTTTTTTTTTTCCATTTTTGCAGAAAAGAAACTTTCTTTACAATATATACTTTCTTTTATGGTTTTCTCTTTGAGCTGTTAGTTTAATGTTTTTTTTTTTTTGCTGTTTACAAAGCATCTAAATTTCAAGAATACACTTCAATAAAAAGTTCTTAGTTTTTTCTTACTCTTGCTGTTGTTGCTGCAGTGCTATTACTTTCTTGAAAAGTTTTTTTTTGAATTTTAGATACCCGAGATGCTGTACAATCAAAACAGCCACAATATTGAGTTTTATTTCTGACGTCCACAAAAAAAAAAAAGCGAATAACAAAAGTGAGGAATAACGAAGTTTATGTTTACAACATATTTTACCATTACTACTTCTTGCCGTTGTAAATACAATCAGGAAGAACTTCTGAAATCAGATTAAAAAATCTAAGATTTCAAATGATCAAACACGTACATAACATCTTCGCTTCTATCGATGTTATTTTTGATGCTTCCCCATCAGGTTAAACTGTGTTGTTCCATCCCTTACCTTAATACATTTGTCCCTATAATTTAAAAAAAAAAAAAAATAGTTGTCAATTAATAGTTACATATATTTACCATCTGTCGCTGACTAAAGAAAATTTAACATTCATAATTTGAAGGAAATAGCAACTGTTATAGATGTATAAAACCCAGTGAAAACAATTGTATGAACTTCGCCGCATTCAGTAAATGGGCCAGAAATCGATAAAATTCATCAGAAAAAAAAAAGGAAATATTTTTAAAATCATATTTCTTCCGACGAAGATCACTTAGAAGTTAAACCTTTTTCACCACTCATCAGTTAAACTGTATTTTACAGCTTACCATCAACAATCCAAAGTACCAACTAAAACTGTTATGTTTACTGCAAAGTTGAAACTTGAAGTTACATTGTACTTCTAAAAATTACCTGTTTGTCAGACAGTTGTTTCAAGTAGTTATCATTTCAGTTCTTATTTCTATTACCTATTAGAATACAATTTCTATTTACGCCTAACTAAAATTTTTTTCTAAACTAACTACTAAAGTTCCGCAACCTTAAATTGTCGTAAGAAGTTCGTCTTGTTAAACGACTCGTCGTATCCTCGTAAAAAACAAGGAACTATGCATTTTCTGAAAACCAGTTTACTGATTTATTGATAAGCAACTAATATTCATTGGCAGTAGATAAAAAAACTATTACTGCGACTCTTCCAATTTGAACGCTAATGCACTGTGAGCACAATGATCCTGATGTCACCAGGCTTCTTGTTTGATTAAAAGACTAATAGGACTTCATTACAGTTACTGTACAGTAAACTAACTTTGTTAACTTTTATATAGATTCCGTTTTCCCCTTTTAGTGTTGACTTTTCTAATGATATACATCAAAACTTTGTTCCATAAAATGTCAACATTAATCACGCAATGTTCCCTAGAATGTACATTAGCCAAACAGTAAAATCTGATATCTCCTTACTGATGAATGAACTGTTCCATCTAACAAATAATATCCGATGGAAATTAAAGGATAAAAATCAAATTTCAACGCAACCAGTGGAAATCAGATCAGCTCATAAAAACTTGGTTTTCGCAAAAAATAGTAATTTTTCATCCAACTGACAATGGTTACTTTTTTCTTAACAATTTTTTTTCTGCCAAATGAAAAAAGGAAGTTTTTTTTTTTTTCCGTCTTGTTTCACTGTACTTTTGGCAACATTAACTTTCAAAAACAACATTTTGGTCCCCTGCCATATCAGGAACAGACATCAATAACCAGGTTCTAGGACAGTGTTTCAAATTAAACCATTTAGTTCTTTAATAAATCGTTCTTCTTAAAAATAAACAGTATCTCTAATGTCAAAATTCACCGCTCAACTTTTACATTAAAAAACCTGAAATTTTATTTTGTTTCATTCAATAAATAACTGGTATTGTTCCAACGTTTCTTTTTTTTTAATCAACATCCTTATCCACCACAGATTGTACACTAATGAGTAAAATTTAATGAAATAAATCTGAACCTTGCATTGCAAAATTATTTGTTAATATTAAATGGAACACTAAATCAGTTTTCAACATTTTTTTTTTTTTTTTTTTTTTGTCTTCCAGAAAATCAAAACAATTTTTCTTTTTTGTTTAAAACAAATACACAACGGAAAATTCAATTTAAAAAAACAAAACAAAACAAAACAAAACAAAAAAACCCGACTTAGACTAATTTATCGTGAACCAATAAGATTTCGCTTTTATTTATTTATATTTTTCAGATAAAGATAGAAGAACAAATTGTGTAGTGGAAAGAAAAAAGTGGACAAATAAGTTGACGGAGATTAAAAGACAGAAACAAAAAAACATGTTGCTTTTAAGACAATAAAATCAAAAAAATTCCGTCTCCATACGAACAGTTAGTTATCTATCAAAGAGAGAAAGAGAAAAAAAAAGGCAGAAAAAGGAGAAGAAAAACACTCTTTACCCGATAAACCACAGTAACAACGATAATGACAATAC